TTTGATAGAGGAAAATATTCCCCTGCTCCCGAGAACTTTTTCTGCAGATGAAAATACAGAGAGAGAGGGGGGAAGGCAAGGCTATTCTCTTGAGTTCTTCTGAGTTCTCCTGAAGCTGCATTTGAAATCGAACATACTGGGAAACTTTCCAGGTCTTAGCTCTCCACACAACAAAGTGGTGTGTGCCTCTGCTAGGCTGAGATGAGAATGCAATTAGCTAAGTCTCTTGGGGACCTCCACTGTTTATCTTTTGCAGTCTTATTCATTATTTAGAAAGACAACAAAACACTTCCTCTCTCATTGAGCAGCAATATACAAGCCCCAGGGCTGTGGTACAGATGAAGTGATTTTTATTCAAATTGGGATATTTTGGTGGGACTGATATGAGAAGAGAAGAACAGCATGTGCAGGTTTTCAGACTTGTAAGGACTTTTTTGTTGCTATATAGTCAATCACTACAGCAACTAACAAATGGCTGGCATTCCAGAGGTTAATCTAAAAAGTTGGGCTAGAAGTGCTGGCTGTAGGAGTCTGTGAGATATAGTCCCAATTTTTCCAAGCTTAGGCTCTGATAGATGAACTCAGAATTCTTTCTGCAAATGGTCCCTCCCAGTGTGTTGGATGACAACTGGATAAGCTACCTCAATGGCCCAGAACCTTCTGGGGGACAAATAAATAGCACAAAAAACACCACCACCCCAATCCAAACTGGCTGCAAGTTCACATCTGATTCTCAAAAATTGGTATTTCCGATGGTAACTTGTTTGTTGTTGTTTATTCATTCAGTCACTTCTGACTCTTCGTGACCTCATGGACCAGTCCACAACGGAGATCCCCATCAACCGTTGCCACCCCCATTTCCTTCAAGGTCAAGCTAGTCACTTCAGGGATAACATCCATCCACCTGGTCCTTGGTATGCCCCTCTTCCTTTTTCCTTCCATTTTCCCCAGTATCATTATCTTCTCCAAGCTTTCCTATCTTCTCATTATGTAGCCAAAGTACTTCATCCCTCCCTCCAGTGAGCAGTTGGGCATTATTTCCTGAAGTATGGACTGGTTGGATCTTCTTGCACTCCAAGGCACTCTCAGAATTTTTGCTCAGAACCATAGTTCAAAAACTTCTATGGCAGTGGTTCTCAACCTGTTTCTGGCCTTCAACTCCCAGAAATCCTAACAGCTGGTAAACTGGCTGGGATTTCTGGGAGTTGCAGGCCAAAAACATCTGGGGACCCCAGGTTGAGAACCACTGGTCTATGGTAACATAGTACAGGGAAATTTTGAAATCTATTTAAAAAGTAAGTTGCTTCACCTTGAGCTTCTAGGGGCAGCAGTTCCACCTCTTTTTAACCTGAAAAAAGCCAGTCTGGGAATTTTGGAGGTATCATGATGACAAAAATGTCATTTCAGTCACAGCTTGTGCTTTCTTCATTTAGGGTCATACCTGGGACCTCTAGTCTAATAAGTAACGGTTGGAATCTTGTTGCCACATAATGCATAAGCTATGCTATGCTTATGACCATGGAACCCTTTCATATTCAATTTATTATTGTGGTAACATTGCCAGAATTATAATGCCCTGAAACCTACCTTAAAAGCCAGGCAGCTATCCAAAGCAACTGAGTTTTGTGTACAGAACCGATGAACTGTCTCTTGGTTTATTTTACACCATTGTCTGGATTTTGTTTACAAACTCTGGAAAAATTCAAACCAAATCAGGTTTATCCAATCAATATCTTATCTATCTCTGTAATAAAGCAATTCGGCTATGCATTTGTTCAGATGAAAATTTAAATGTTTTAACTTCATTTTCTACAAATCTTAGTGATAATTTTTTAATTATGGCTAACTCTGAAGTAAAATTTGTGAGCAAATGGAATAGTCATGGTAGAGAGGGCTTTCCTTTAAAAGGAAGGCATGTGTAACAAATTATCTTTATAATAAGTCTATTTAAGAACACTTGTGAGCGGCCTAAAAATTCTGACACAAAATCATCTAGCTAGTAAGTATAGATCTGAAGTGGCTCATTTAAAATTGCTTTTCTGAGGAGGATGGATTACTTTTCAATGCTCAAGGAAACAGCTTGCATGAATAAGAAGGGTGAACTCGGCTAACAGATGTTGCAATTTTATCCATATTTATAGTTTGAAATGTACATAAATTAAGAACATTCCACATGGCAGATCATTAGAATCCTAAAAGTGCTTATTATTATTACCTATGGCTGTATATGAATATATTTTTATCTGTATATGAGTCTCCCCTCGGAAGAACTCATGAGAATTGTGTGTGGATGCCATTTATAATTTGTAAGGCTTGCACAATACATTACCTATTAGTTAAAATGAATCAGCTCAATTCATGAGTTTCTGAAACTAATATCCTAACCAGCATTTCCAGGCTGACAAAAGAGCTCAAAATAGAAATACTATATTCCAAGACACTGGTGCATTGTGAAATGGCACAAATCACCTCTTCACATGGGACATTTTTGCCCTGTTTTTCTGCTTTGCTTCACAGCAATTACGGGTCACATGATGCAAGGCAGGTTCCATCCACTTTCCTCCCAGAGTCAGGGGGAAACAACTACGGGGAGGAAAGTGTAGTTTGGGTAGCTCCGACAAAGCTATTCGCACTTTCCTCCTCTTTTCCCTGTGTGATGGAGGAAAGGGCGGTGGGGAAACGTGTGTTGCCGCCCTTTCTGTCATCTGATGGGTGGAGGGAAAGGGTGCCAAAGCACCTTCTCTTGTCCCCTCCATATGATGAGGGGAGGAGGGAGGGTGCACGGGGCATCACAAGCCATGTGAAGAGGTCCTTAGTGAAGTATAGGACCCAGAATTCTGATGTTCACAAATGACACATATGTTTCACAACATATTGTGGTAGGATTCATGTTGGGAGTGAAATGACTTTATCATGTAAACCCTCTACTACTGATAGTGGATATATACTGGTGCAAGGGGGGGGGGGGGAGGAGGAGAATTCTGCCCTTGGATGCCAATTTACTGCTGATGTTACAATATTTATAAGAACTTTTCTTACTCAAATGCTGAGTGTGCCTGCCCTGTTTGGGATAAGTCTGTTCACACAAAGCAGGTGAACATAGCACCGAACAAAACATGCAGAATACTCACAGGATGTCTCAAACCTACAACTGTTGATAGAATCTACAATCTAGATGGCATTGCCCCCCCCCCCCAAAGATGTGTGATGGGAAGTTGCTGCTTACTGGGAGAGAAATAAGGTTGAACACTGTGAAGGCCATCCACTGCATGGGTATCAGCCTTTCCAGTAGACTCAAATCAAGGAAAAGTTTCATGATAACCAAGATTCATCTTAATTTTCCCCCAGCAACAGCAAGGACATCCTCTGGGCAGCTAAACCAGAAAAACCCAATTGGATGGCTCTCCACACTTGGTTTGCCCTCCAGGGGCAACTTGGAAGTCCCTGAACAGACTTAGAGTGGAGAAGGCAAATCAAAAGACAACCTGGACAAATGGAACTACTTAAAAGACTCATCCACCTTGTGTGACTGTGAAGCAGAACAAATAACCCCACATCTGTATGTTTGTACATAATGCCCTGCCTCATGTACCATAGAATCTCCTGGATGAATTGTTTAAAGCTACAATGTGGTCGCTGTTGCCCAGTTTTAGTCAAAAATTATTTAGCAGCTTGTGCACCTTCTATTTTTATCAGTTTTTATATTTATGTATGCAATGCTTTTGATACAAAATTTAAAAAAAAATACAATATGGAAGGTTGACAAAAGAGCTCAAAATAGAAATATGGTGAATAAAGAATAATACTTTTTTTGATACATCAAGACATCCTGCTGAAAATAATAGTTAATTTCACTGGGATTTTTTTGTGAAAATGTGATTTTGTACAGAAGGGTTTTTTTAATACTGGTAAAAAAAAACCCCTCTAAAATCATAACAGTAAATAAAGAACAACACTCAAAAACAGGGAAACTCCAGACAAGAAACAATCAGGGACAGCTGATCACCTCAACAAAGGATTCCCCCAGACAATAAGAAGCCACATCTTGAAAACTGCTAGGCCATTAAATGCTAATCAAGGTAACTAATTGAAACATTCACACCTACCTCCAACAGACAAGAGTTTTTCCTTCCACCCTGGACGTTCCACAGATATATAAACCCAATTTTCCTAGTTTCTGACAAACCTCTGAGGATGCCTGCCATAGATGTAGGTGAAACGTTAGGAGAGTATGCTTCTGGAACATGGCCGTACAGCCTGAAAAACTTACAACAACCCAATATAATATTCATTTCTAGTGCTTGTGAACATTACTTTTGGGGACAAAACTCTGAAATTCCCTTGAGAGGACCAGTAGTCATTTTCTACTCAAAGAGACATAAATTCACTATACAGTGATTCTGATCAGTTGGTTCTTAGGATCCTTCTATTATTATGTGGTACTCAAAATGAGGGTGGTGAGGGCATAAAGGGGATTTCCTGCATATTTGTGATGTTGAGGTAATGTGAATAAGTAACCAGTTTTGAAGGAGGACAGATTGTTTCAAATTAATTAATATCAGGAAGATCAGTGCTGCATTTAGTGTATAAAACTGTTCCTTTATGCTTTTGGTGTGTGTGTGTGTATTCAACCTTTTTTCAGCTGCATGCCTAAATGCCACACACACAAACATACACGCACGCTTTAAAAAGCTACCATGAAAGAGTCTGAGGGAATCAAATTATTCCAGCAGCATCAGAGAAGGTTTTGGGTATATGAGGATGAAACATTCACTAACGTTGATAAATATTTCCCATACAATTGTCTCTGTTTTCTTTTCACTAATAGGGCATGTGGGAGGGGGAGGAATGGGCACCATTTTGGAACATCTCTGTCCATGTCCTTTTGGGTGTCTCACAGACATTCTTTTCTTTTTTCCTCCTCCCCTGCTTTCCTGCTTGTTTCTTGCATCTCTACCCTCTTCCCCTGTTTGCCACTGTTGCCTTATCTTGACCTCTAGAGCTCTCCATCAGCCTTCTTGCAGTGATAGTTATTGTATGTGGACTGGCCCTGGTGGCAGTTTTTCTCTTTCTCTTTTGGAAGCTGTGCTGGGTGCCCTGGAGAAACAAGACCATCTCGACAAACACCCCTGACACACAGCACACAACAGAACAGAACAAAGAGGCCATGGCTGACAAGCTAAAGGATACAGGGACTCTTGGCTTCTTGGAGGCAGCTGTGAAAATCAGTCATACATCCCCAGATATTCCAGCAGAGGTCCAGATGTCAATGAAAGACCATCTCATGAGGCGCACAAGGATACAGCGGCAAACAACAGAGCCTGCATCATCAACCAGGTGAGTGCTGAGCTATCCTTCAGTTGCATCTATTGGATGAGACAATTCAAGTCATTTTACATAAAGCTGTTGAAGATAGAGAAAGCTATCTACAAACACCAGAGAAATAGTAGTCACCTTCTTGCCCTGCTCAACTTTCTCCTGTTGCTTCTTATTCCCAATCAGTTCTACAGATCTAGATATAATCCTGATGACCAAGTTCAAAATACAGTACCACCTCCTGTTTAGTGGGAATTAGGGACACAAGACCCCTGCAAAAATAGAAAGGCTGAGGAAGACAGTATACAAGTATAGTAAATAAATAAATAAATAAATAATAAGTGCAAATAAAAAATAACATTTCTTATGAGAGAGAACCACTAGATTCACCAGAGATTGATCACACAATCACCCTGGAAGACCCAGGACCTCATCACATTGAGGTCCAGAAGCGTCTTCTCTGTGCTTCCCAGCGCTCCCAGCATGCTGCCGGCACAGAGTCCCCCAGATCAAATGACACAAGGCTACATCCAGTGGGGCTCTGTTGGGTTCCATCCTGGCAGTGTGCTGACACCGTCAAGAAGTAGAGCCCAGATGAGTTGGGTGTAGATCCAACTCTGCATAGAAGAAGCCAGGGAAGATGCAGGAGGAAGCAGGAAACACTGGGAAAATGTCATGAGAAGGGATCTGATGACCACCAATGGTGAAGGCATGAAGCATTATGCTGTCCCATAGTTTCCCCTGCTGTCCCCTGACTTCTGGACATCCATGTGATGAGAACCCTAGAGGTTCCTAGAGAAGTGTTCTCTCTAGGAATTTCTAGGTCATCCAATGCAACATTATGACCAACTTCCAGTGGGAGTTGAGCATATATTCACCCTGGGTAAACTAAAAGTTCCTAGAGGGAACATATTAATCAATTACACAAAAGTTAAACCTGCAAATGTGGAAGACCAAGTATTTATATTCAAATGTTTATATGTATGTCCATTAGGTTATTTCCTCCCTTCATGAAATCATCATTTCTTTCTGTCTTTGGTAAGATATGTGTACCAATCAAATATTTCAAAACAAAGTAAATGTATGTTTATAGTTGTGATGGAATTCTGAAGGAACCCACCACAAAACAAAACATTATTATTTTGTTGCTTAACAACTTTTGTTGCTGTTTATGTGGAATTAAATTGTTGCCTAATTGTAAGCCGCTCTGAGTCCCCTTCGGGGTGAGAGAGGGTGAAGCATAAATAAATAAATAAATAAAATAAGAAGAACAGAAGAGTACTTGTCCCCACCTAGATGCAACTCAGTCCACTGCCATCTAGTAAACAAAATGTGTAATGATAGTATCCACCTACAATTATTGGAGAATTTATTTCAAGTAAAATGTTTGTGTAATGTATCTGAATGTCACCCAAGGGATGTAACAGTTTTCAAATAGTGCAGAGTTGCTTCAGTTTTGGTTTGAGATGGAATGCCTTCCTCTACAGGCTTTTCCTATGCATTTGTTTCTCCAGGTCTGAAGAAAGGCAGTAGGAGGAACTAAATATAAAAGATGTTAGTAGCTGCTGTTACTTCTTGGTTCCTAGGTGCAATGACTTCCTATATATCATACAGTTTATATTTGTGGACTTCTATCCAAAGACTAACCAGCAGTTTGAGAAAAGAAGAAGGACTTAATGAGATTGTAGCTATTTAGGAATAGATTATTGGAAGAACAGAACTTGGATCACTGTACGAAAAAGCTGGCATGCATTGTTGTGTTGTTGTATTATTGTGTGCCTTCAAGGCGTTTCCAGTTTACAGAGATCTTAAGGCAAACTTGTAATGGGGTTTTCCTAACATAATTTGTTCTGAAGGGGTTTACCATTGTGTTATCTGAAGCTGAAATTGGTCTCTCGGGGTCCTAGTCCAGCATCAAACCATTCACCATATTGACTTGTACATATATGTTACTCTTTTTAAAAAGTTATGGGGGAGAATATACATTTTAATAGTCCTAACCGCCCAGTACAAACCTATTCCTGTGTTGAATTAAATATGCTTCATGATGTTATTCTTGGAGTTTGAATCACTAATTTTGCCATGAAACCAGTGAGACAGCAGCTGGAATAGTTCTAGAGAGAACCTGTGAAGAGTAACAAACAAAATACTCCCTGAAGAAATTAGAGCTTATATATATTGTTCTTGCTTTCTGCTTCCCAATTGTTTGGCAAGAAGGTATTTGAAAGACAGGGTGAGATTCACATATATAATTTTCTTAATGCAAATTAAATTAGCATGATAGGGTTCCTGCCAGTTTACAAGAGCTGTGAGGCAGGATTCCTAAAGAGAGCTATTTACTGAGAAAATAAGGAGTATTGTGGAAAATTAGCATCAACACCAGGACCCTATAATTTATGGAATTTCTTAATAATATGTCCCTGTGTTCATTATTATATTTAATATGTATTCTTACATATAAATGTACAATTGCCATGAAAAATAAGTCATAAGTTATTTTTGTCTATTGTATTCATTTATCCCAACCAGAGAGACACCATATAACCCCTAACATTTATTCTCACAGCTCAGACCAGAATTTTGATGTTCAAAAATAATTGTGGCTGTGACTAGAATTTCCACCACTCCCTGCTTAGGATAGGTACAGTGCACTTTACAGCTGTCTGCATGGCCATATGGCCAAATCCTTTTAAAATCATTTTGTATAACAAGTGAAAATTACATTTTTTTAAATTTTCAGAATAAAAGCCATGTTTTAGCCTGGTGCATTAAAAATAGAGAGTCGTTTATATAAATTAATAAATATTTAGAAGATCTAATAATCTGAAGGAGTGGAATCTGGTTCTCAAACATTTAAGTCAGGGGTCAGGATCCTACAGATACTTTGGACCCCAGCTTCCAGCCACTTACTATTGATCCTGATGGGAGCTGCAGGACATATGGTATCCTGTCCTTCCAGTAAATAGTCATCTGGAGCTTAGTTTGATTGTACTATGATTGTACTATATACGTTTGTTAGATTTTAGGGCTACACAGATTTTTTTGCTGGTGACTTAAGAGCTCTTCAGAGGATTCATAATACAATAATCAGGCTATTGTTTCACAATGTGACAAGTCCAATGCACATTTTACTCTCAGTACATTTAGGGTCAATATGTTGTCGCATGAATCAACTTGCATAAAATCACCAGAGCTTGGAAAACTGTGTTGTTGTTTTTTAAAAAAGTATCCAGTTATAGTTATAGGCCAAAATCCTATAATTGGAGTTGCGTATGTGGAATTATGCATTGATTGTGCTGCTCACCTTTATGTTAAATTGCACATTCTACAGTTGCAGGCATACTCAAATGTGTGACTTGAATGTACAACCAAATGCTCATGTGCACTATATCCATGGAAATCTGTATGCTTACCTGCATGTGCCACTGTATCTCACACACAGTGTCACTTCTGCAACCGTGAATTGAATGTGGGCCTTCCACATCAGGCACAAAGGTCCAGCCACTTCTGGAGGAGATCTATGTGAGACATCAACAGCTTTTGAGTTAAGTTTTTCCTCACCACCACTGCTACCCAAATTAGTTGTTATGGTTCTTAAAAGTATGTCTGCTTCTTGGAAATTTGTAGCTTTTTAGTTATTTTTAAAAATAAAATAAAACAAAAATACCTGAATCCTGCAGCCTGATACAAGTCAAAAGGCAGTGTTTGAATCATGTAATATACTTCTGCCATAATGTAGGTGAAGGCACACCCTTGTGGCTATGAAAGCTACTTTAAAACTAATAGTTATGTTGGAGGAGTGAGTTTATCCCCCAATGAGTTACAAACATAATGGATTTTAGTTATAGCTTCTTGTTAAGGTACAGAGCTAATTACAAGCAACATGTGCTTTGTCAAGTTACTTCTGAGCTCTGAAAATCAGCCTGCAAGAACATGACTCTGGGAAAATTGGGAAGGTCTCTAGCAGAATAGAGAGCTAGTTCTGTTCTATCAAACCCTATGATTTTTGTCTGTTGCTCTGGGCCATGTCTCCTGTAAATGTCTGTAATAATCCCTTCTTCTTGAATATCTTCTTGACACTTTGCAAAGCACTGAGTGATTGCACACAAAAGAGCTATTACGCTGAACCTTCAGCTGACACACACCTCCTGGCCCTGGAGGACCCCCCCCCCTCCGACTGTTAGTCTCTGCCAAAGGTTGCCTTGATAGTGATCCAGCTGACATCCTATGCCCGTCTCCCTGTGGGCCCTTGATCTCCACCAAAAGATTCAAACCCCGTTACAGTGACTTGACCTCATTGTGTCAAGCTGTCAATATGCTTGTGGCCACTTTAATTTTGTTAGGACTCAGGGAGGCAGGGAGACATATCAGTGACATGGCGGACTGTCAGATGGAATTACAGCCTTTTGCTCTCTTTCTTGCTTATGTGGCTCAAAGCAGGAATAATTAGATAAACGGAATTGACATGTTACTCACTGCATTGGCTTAGAGGGAGCTGCATCTCAGTGTTCAAGATCAGCCATTGCCTCAGGGTTGCTCCTTCACTCAAGTCTCAGTTGAAGGCCTGATACATGAGGGGGATTCATTACAATGGGTAGGGACCTGAGGACTCTGAGAATTCCTTCCCCAAGGGTCATTGACACTAAAGTCTGGTTTGCATTGTCTTTTCAGCTGGCACTGGGGATGTATTTATCTTTGTTGCACTTAGACATATGGTAAAGGAGAAATGTATGTCCGGATGCCAGTCAGGGCGATCTACAGGGGGCAGATCTTTCCTAGTCCTAATTCCTTTGCTTTTTGATACAAACCAGAAGATGAGTCTTGCTGATTCAGTCTATCTCAGCTGACATCTCATTTTCAATCTGATCAATTCTGTTAAGCTTGCAAGTCAAGCCTGTTGTTTGCTCTCCAGTAACTGAGATTCAGAAACACACTGCCTCTCAACCTGGTTATATCTTGCCATTGTCATTGATAGAGCTATTTTCAGTTAACATATCTTGTCCAGTCATCACCAGGGCTTA